AAGTGACAAGTTTGTGCAGTTTGTTAAACCTTGTGAAAAAATGCCTCTCCGAAGATCACCCGTCCCCGAAAGTCGTGAATCCGAGAACCAACAACAATTGTTTGAAGAATCTACTCGGGATAGGGGACTCAGGTAGTGCTCGAAAGATAGATTATTAACGTACAACAGTTTGCTGTTAAAACTATATATTTGTGAATAAACGTTGTGCAGAGCGCGAAATGTCTAGGCTTACTGATAGGAAAATTGTGTGTCGCGTCGTGTGGTGTTCGCTATTTTATAAACTACGTGTGTGTTGTGATTGGTGGTGTGAAAAGTGTCGTAGGTGGTGGAAGTGTTTGGGGTGTGTCTGCTGGTGGTGTGAAAGTGGGGAATTGGTTCTTACATTTGTTATATTGCTCGTCTGAAAATTGGTGATGTCGAAGGTCTGTTTAATTGCTTAGGGCATGTGGTGTCCAGGTGTGAGAGTCGTCGAATTTTTGGTGTAATAAAGTAATTTGCCCATGCCGGCTAAGATCTCGCTTTTTAGAAGGTGCTGTCTATTGAAAATAGCTCGGCTCGTCGGTACGGCCGAACAACCCAAGCGGCGTCTGTTACGCATGTGACAACGTAGATAAAAGAAACGAAGCGTGAGGTATGTCTATTTTTTTGGCTCATTATGGTTGCGACTGGTGGAGTGACACAGTTATTCATAATTTGTGTACTATGTTGGGTTTGCTTGTTAATAATTGAATTTTGTATGAAAATGTTGGGGTCTTGCGCTGTAAAGTTTATATGCGTGTTAGTATCTATGAGTACACTTGTTGTGCTGTTTACTGGTATAGATCAGCTGTTGCTTCTTTTGTACGTGAGAACCTGTATAAATCGATCACAGTGTAAAGTGTAAACATGTCTTAACTGCTCGGCTGCCGGAACGGAACTGAAAATGGTATTAATTCGTAAGATTGGCTATCCCAGTCATCACACTCAAACCTAATTGAAAATGTTTGGGTATACATGAAGCTAGAACTCTGTAAAAAATGTGTGTAGACTGTGAAACAATGAACACGACAGATACAACTTAGTCGAAAACATGCCTACACGCTGACAATTGAACCAGTCATTAATATGAAATTGCACAATTATTTTTACTTCATTGCAGCGAGTATTTATTAAATTATGCCAGCCACTCTCTTGACAGACAGACTGTAAATCATTGTTTATATCTGGTTACGAATAGCAGGTTGTATTTTTGAAGCATGTCAACTTTTTGATCTAATGTAATTTTTAATATAAAATACAGATCCAGGATTCAAAGTTTAAATGTCAATGAACGGATAAGCACAATTAAAGGAAAGAAGCCATTGGGATTCGAACCTGCGCGCAAAAAGTATAGCTTTCTCGCAAATAAGTACATATCTTACCAGTTAGGCACTTGTTTGGCTTCAAATAAGAGATACTGACCTTTCGTACTTTGATATTAAATATCCCGTAAATCGTTCGCCGTCTACGTCTAAAATCGTGTATTAGGAACTCGAAAATTTTTAGTTCTATCACTGTGTAGCACCTCGCTGAAAAAGCAACGTTACACCTTGGAACCTTCTCTTATAATACAGGTTCTTATATTACACACTGAGTTTTAGAACATTTTTATGATTTCTTTTTTATCTCGTTCCCCAAGATTGTTCCAGTTCATAAAAAAGTAATTTCTGTAAAAATTGAGCTCAATCGAATAACAGGAAAAGGTATCCCAAATGATAATCTATACACGTTACATATAATTTACGTATGTAAAACTACATGTTCACGACACAATTATTACTCCAAATCTCATATCAAATTTGTTCGTTTACCCGATTATTAATTGTTTTCTATGATCTGTTGGTATGCCGATGACGTTTAGCAATCTTTCGTTATGAAGACCAATTCATATTACGATAGCTTACAAATCGTTCAACTTATGGTAATATAACTAACAAGGAAAGTTCGGCATTCTGAAAATTTAAAAAATTTGACACTGCAGAAATGTGTTCCAGTGACGCTAATTACGAAACGACGGTTTATTTCGGCTATAAAACAGTCCTAGGGGTGAAAACACTCATTCAAAAAAATTGTGGTTTTCTTATCATGAATATTTACGAAACCGTAGAAGATATGGGAAAAAAATTTAAATTCACAAATATGTGGTTTTTAATGTCTTGAATTGTGGTGGTAAAGAATTTTTGAAAAGCATTATTTTTTTCAAAATTTACCCCCAGCACTCTTAATTCAAAAAAAAAAATGTTTTCGAATATTCTTTAGCCATTGTAGGACATCAAAAACGGCACAACTTTGAATTAAACTTTTTTCCATATCTGGTACCGTTTCGTAAATATTCACGATAATTTGAGAACTCACTTTTTTTAGATGTTTCCACCTCTAGGACCGCTTCATTAAAAAATGCAAAATAGTTTCGTAATTAGCACCACTTGAATTACATTGTTGAAGAGTTTCAAATTTTTTTGATTTTTTGGGTACCAAACTTCCCTTATAAGTTAGTTTGGACAATGCGTTTAAATACCGTTACACTTTTAAAGAGTTAATGGAATTGAATAAAATGCTTTGCATGATTTAAAATACATTATTCCTGAGAAAGCGTCCAAGGAACACAAAAATTTAATGGTCATTAGGAAATTTGTATTATTATTAAACTCATTATTTATATTGTGTCGATTACAATTTAAATAAATGCGTCATTTTGTAGTACATTATTGTTTAATAAATCAACAGCTTCTACAATTCGTTGCGCGGTACGTGAGATTACGTAGCCAAGAAAAGACAATTATCATGGGCTGCCGCGCGTCGCTCACTCCTATACTCGCGTTTTGTGTTTTTTCATTCGGGGCAATGGCCCGGTCCGGTGCGTTGACCTAGTGTCCCGTCAGCTGACTCCTGTTTTGTTTACACCGCTGTAACGTCTAATTTTCGGTTCAACGGCCGCCACAGCAGTATTTATTGCAAATTGCAAGAGCCATTGCTTTTTCACCATCATTCTTTTTGGTTATAAAATGGAAACATTTTTCCAATTAATGCAAGATGAGAAATAAACGCTCAGCTTAATAATAAGAAAATTCAGTTTCATATTTATTAGGCTGTTTTCCTCAAAAGAAGGTTAAAAATATTTTTAAATTGTACAAAGAATTTTATTTTATTTCACTAATATTTCAATAGTGTAGTGAGGTCTATGCCCGTATTTCAACTCGACTCGACTTTTTTAAGGAGGTCCTGTGTACGTGTCAAGAGTAAGATAGTAAGCTAGGAAAGTAGACGATTTTAGCACGAAATTTGGACAGAGTTATGCACATTTAATTTTATGTATAAAATTAGGATACATTTTCTGTTATCAGATAGCGTTTATTTAATTCATAGAGATTATATTTTTATAAAATAGAACAATTCTGTGAGATAAAAGCAAGAAAATTTCAACCTGAAGAAAATTAGGTTCACCCTAATAAAGATGTGTAAGTACAATATATGCTTGAAAATTTTTACAAGTTTTAATTAAAACATTTGTTTCACCTTTGTTCTACCTAATATTCGTATTTTTGTAATTATCTAAAGATTAGATAGATAAAAAATTACGCTTATTTACTTCGTACGTGCATACATTTCATGGATCTTAGAGAAATATTTTGCATAAAAAGGAGAATGAGATTGTTATGTTATGCAAAAAAAAAAAAACAATGGACACATTTACAAGTAGTTTGGTTTCGATTGTTACCGGAATTTATCGAGACGAACTGTGTATACACTTTGACGGACATTTCGATGAAGGTAGTCAATTTGCAGCAGTTGAACTGCTGTGACTCTTTGATAAAGAAAGAGAAGAAAACAAAGTCAGTCACATGCACGTATGTGAATTTGCGTAAATGTGTGAGAGCATGTAAAGAACGAGTTTTAGAAATACTTAAAGTATACTTATAACAAATACTTATAAATGTAACACTTGTAATTTTTGAAATATGGAATATCTGAATATGATTTACAAGATAATGCCACCGGTGTAAGCTCGTTAAGTTTTCAATTTACACGGATAACGATCGATGCCCAGGGTTTATCGAACACACTAATTAAAAATACTTCATTCTCTCCTCACATATTGCACATATTTGATATCATTCACTAACATCATAACAATAACGACAACATTGTGACTAATGTTTATTAGATTTGGAAGAGAAAATACAGTAAATTCTCTACAAGTGTCAGTCAGTTTGGATTCTACAAGTGTCAGTACAGATGGTCCTACGCCTAGGCTGCGTCATTGCTGCGCCTATGTTATCTCGCTCGCTATATTTCACGGCTCGACAATTCATAATAGAAAAACATAATTTCTTTAATTTTTTTTTTTTTCATCTGGAATTTTTAAATTATGTCGTGTTTTATGTCATTTTCATAGAAAAATCTCATCAATATGTTAAGAAAAATTTCGGGATAAAAAAACGTAAAATTAAAAAAGTTGGTATTTAAATCGCTTGGTTGCCTCGACTCGCGTTTCATCCTTATCTTTTATTCGCTGTCCTTGTCTACGTTCGGCAAACTACAAAGGCGGGCGCGAGGCTCGAAAACGTAGTCCCTGACTCTACAAGTGTCAGGTTCAGGTTCCTTGCGGACTGACACTTGTGGAAAATTTACTGTAATCTTTGGTCTCAAGTGATATCATAGGTCAGTGTCTGAACATGATATATGGACAGCATACCTACCGTCTATTTTATATGCTCCAACCCTCACATTAGACCGAAGTCATTTAAAGTAACGATTAGCAGCGTTTAACCATAAATTCCTCTGATTGTCATATTCTACCGTACTCCGTACACCTTTATAAACTTTTGTAAACATTTGTGACATGATGTGACATAACGATCAAGACTTTGGTTCTATGCGTAAATCCCTGTCTACCT